TGATAACTTAAATTCCCAATCCTTAACATGATCCTCTATACTCTTCGAATGTACTAAAACATCATGGTTAACACAACCATTGCTTCACTCAAATAAGCAGGGAAAATCCCATGCCAAACGAACAAACAAGTTGTGAGTTATGGCGGAAACACGAACCGTATCTTCCGCACTCACTACAACAACCAACCATGTCTCATCAATAAAACTCAACTCCATGTCATTACTTCACCATCACATAGAGCATGGTAATAGCTTTCCAATGCTTCGAACCGCGCGTCATTCCAAGTTACGGTTCTCCTGTTACGACAAAAATACCAGAACAACATTTTCTGCCCAGGACCCCTCGCTATGCGAACATAGTAGCGAGCGTGGAGCCGTTCGCTAGCATGCTCGCTAGGCGAGGACCTGGCGAACATGACAGTCCCAAAATCCTATTTTTGACCGTTACCCGACTTCCGAGTGTCCGATTCTGATTCTGTAAAAAGCTGCAATCTCGCAATTCGACGTACAACAAAATTTTCATATCTAGGAGGCCATTCAACACATATTTAACTATTGGAATATTTAAAGGCCTAATTATACCATTCTTGCATCCCGCATCTTACTTTCTTTAATCATCAGAAGTCGCTATCCACTCTGAATACCCTCGGCCTCGCACTTGTTGCCTTAGTGCACATACCGGACACAAGTCTCGACACCACATAATCAGTATATTTCCTTGATTATCCAAACAAACACATAACATGGAGCTTCCACTCTCGGACTAGCTCCCGCAACTGATTGAATCAACTCCACTTCACGTCCTGGTTGTATATCATTGTCTCGTCAGTATAACTTCCAGACAACCGAAAATAATATGCAAATCTCCAACTTCCCACCTTCATTATGACACAAAATTCCCATCAAAATGTAAACACCTCAACACGTCCTACAACAGCTCCTCAAAGCAATCCCTTAAGCACTTAGCTTAACTCAAGACAATTCCTTGCTCATGCCTCCTAAGCTTGCAAGACACGTTTATTCCACCCAACACAATCCCGTCTGCTATCAACAAGAGATTGAGGGTGATTAGTTCCTCAATTTGCCAATAGACAACCGAAAATCATGATGGGGTACAAACCATCTTTACCAAACTATATGAGCGTTCCTCAACACACTAAGCCACAATTCCACATTTGCAGCATCCCGGAGAAACACAAGCCTCTCCCCCACTGGAATTATTCTACTTCTGCCAACAAAGCTAGACAACAACATGTACCGACAGTGTTTCTCACACATGCCGCATACAGGGGATTAGACCACAATACAAGACAACTTGGCCGGATGGACCGACCTGCTCTGATACCAACTTGTAACACCCCGTTCCCAAAATAAATAAAACATTAAATTAAACACATATCAGAGTTTCTTTTCTCAAACGAGATGTCACAATTCACTTCACAATTTTCACAAATCATTAAAAACTGATTTTTCTTCAATAAAGTTTTCAGCGGAAAATGATATAGTCTGTCATAGCTCAAAATATCATATATACACCATTCATAATACATAAAATATCACATATCGTGATATGTACATCCATCGGCTATCAGCCTCAAAACATAATGAACATGGCATCATCAAGTATCCATACACATCTCCTGAAACGAGATACGCCACTGGGGCACACAAAATCAACACATAAAACAATAAACTCCCAAAAACGCCTCGGTGTTACGTATCAGAGCAACCTATAGAGACGCCTCAATCTAAGCTAGCTAAACACCTGGATTGTCTGTACTTCCGAAGAAGCACAGACCACAACAACAATAAAGGGGTGAAAATTACGATCAAATGATAATGGTATAATGGTACATGAAATCAAGGCAGAATCATATAAATATCATTTCATGTACATATCATCCAGACTCACTGTCCCACCATCAATCACAATATACAATCACGCAACAAATGCACCCACACACAACTCAAGGCATACGGTACCGACTCACAATAACGATGGGCACCGGGCCATCAACCCTCCACACAGGAGCAACATCAACAATGGGCACCTGGCCATCAACCCTTCACTCTAGGAGCACACCACACTGATAGGCAACTGGCTATCACCCTCCAGTATGGGAGCACCTCATATAACATTGATGGGTAACTGGCCATCACCCTCCACTATGGGAGCACATCATCAATATCGATAGACAACTGGCTATCACCCTCCACATAGGGAGCACCACAATAATATACTGATGGACAACTGGCCATCACCCTCCACACAGGAGCACCACATCAGTATCGATGGACAACTGGCCATCACCCTCCACACTGGAGCACCACAACCATATTCACACGCATCATACATCTAGCACACTAAGTGCAAAACGATCCCATGGATCCACCCCTCACCCAGCATATACACGCGACGCCCAAGGCGTGCCGATCCCACTGATCCACTCACCACACAAACTATCACACACCATGCATACAAGGCATGTCGGTCTCACTGACCTAACCTCATCACATAACAGGACATAAGTGCAACGCATCATCAGCGTATCGATCCCACGGATCCACATAACCCCATACATAGCACACACAGTGCACACAGTCCCCTGACTTCATCTCATTATAAAAACACAATGCGCACAGGCGCACTGACCCTACGGATCCTCTCACATCACATAATGCATTCATAACAAGCACACAAAGTGCATCGATCCTACTGATCCGCTCATCACCGCAGCATGTAAACACCATGCATGTAAAGCATGTCGATCCTTCTGATCCACATCCATCTCACAACATACAAACACAACGCATACCAAGCGTATTCGATCCTACGGATCCACATAATCTCACACGCGGCACACACAGTGCACTCGTAACGTATTTGCGTCATACATTTCTATACTTGACTCATAATCCTCTGATTATGGTAATTGCGATAAACGTCGGCCATGAGGCCCTCATACCCTTCATCACTCTCCCATTATTCAGCTAACAACTCATTATAACTATTCGATTGCACTCAGCATCCAGTACTGCACACAACCTTCACATTCCAAATTCTGCTACACTCGCTACCTGCTCGCTACGCGAGCTCCTAGCAAGTGTTCGCTACTCGTTCGCCTAGTGAACCTCCTCGCGAACCACACATATAAGCTACTGCCAGTATTCGCCACAAACACACTCAACCAACTAGCTAGCGAATACCACACATCAGCCTCTGCCAAGGCTCGCTACGCGAGATGCTAGCGAATGTTCGCCAGGCATTCCCCTAGCGAAGAGCTAGCGAATCCTGCAAAAATAAGTTCTGCTGTTTTACAACAGCAGCTACCCCACTCCCCAATTCTCACCAAAATTTGTTAAGTTCATCGGCTACGCATATTGCCGAACATTCCACCCAACCACTACTCAATCCACTCAATCAAACCTCGGTCTTAACCGATTAGTCCAACTTCGACTCAAAACCGAGTCCAACTCCGAAAACCCCAAACACTCGTCCAACACTCATCAAACTCAGCATGCAACATTTCTAACTCAGAAACAATGATCATAATAGATATTAGCAACTAGCAACATCAAGAATTCATCATTCCCACTCAATTATCAACTTCCGACATCAACTCCGAATTTACCCGGAAACCCCAAAACGCTCAACAATCAATTCCACAGCACATGCAACGAAATTAACATAATCTAACACACAATTACAACAACATTAACATGCATCCAACATCTAACATCGATAATCAATGGGGGTTAGGGATTCCCCCCCCCCCTTTTTTCTACCAATTTCATGCAGTACCAAATAACCGTAGAATTCTCCCCCCTTACCTCAATTGAAGCTTTGATGTTGATGAAGCTCCTCAATCCGCACGAAATTCTGCTTACTCAAGTCGCTGCTCTTGATCGCTCACTTGATCGTTCCTCCAGCTTGCCTTCACCGTGCGTGTTTCTCCTTTCACGAGTTCTTGGTTTTTCTTTTCACAAAATGGCAAACATGCCCTTAATACCCCATAATACAACTTTTATTCTATATTAACATGATTATCATAATTCTTTTAATTCCAATAATATTATTCTTATAATAATATTAATTTCCTCTTATTTCTTTTAATTCACCAAAATCCACTTTAATTCCAAATTTCCACAATAATAATAAATCCTCATCTTCATAATTCCCACATCAATATTATTTCCAAAATTTCTTTAATTTCCAAACTCTTCCAATAATATTTTTAAATATGACAATAATAGCAATAATATTAATAATAATAGTATCGACACTATTAATCAACATATTATTATTATTAATCATATTTTTCTAATATTATTGAACTTAATTCCTCAAACAATTTCCACACACAATGCACCGAAAAACGAATAATACGGGAAAACCAAATAATTAAAAATGGGCGTTACAAAAGGCATACATAGAAAATCATGAAATGCGATACTCCCCATACCTTAGTCGATTTGCAGCTTTCACGATTAATTTATGGGATCTTCTGCTTCCAGCCTTTTCTTCAGAGCTCTGGCCACCAACTTTCACGTTAAACACAAAATGAAATCTAATTTCCTTTCAGAACTCAATTTTGTCTAACTTAATCTTCGACCTCACAAATTGGGTTTTTCCCATAACACCCTTACTAACTCTTCATAATGCCCAATTTACCCTTATTTCCCTTATATTCATTTTAATAATAATAATACTAATATTCTCATATAGTATACTATTAATTAAATAAATAGTCCAACATGCACATTTTCTCAGTAATTCCCAAAACCACCGATAAATTAATTAAAATATTTCGATTAAATTTGGGGTGTTACAAATGGCGCCTCCCTTTAACTTTAAGGAAGGGGTTCTATCATGCATGGCGCTTCCCTTTACCATTTATTATTATTTAATTCGTGCACTTTTATTATATATGTATACATTGAAGAAAAAATTAAATACATCTCATTTTATGCAAATACATCTCTTACACTTTTATTCAAATATGTCTAGAACAACAAATTATATTGTTCATGCTCGTTTTAATGGAGACACATACATCTCTGAAAATTCCGGTTTTGGGTTTCAAAATACTGATGTTATCCGATTAACAATGAGCAGAAAATCAATTTTTTTGCATTTCAAAGAGCGAATAGAGTCGGAGATATTGTCTGGTCCAATCACTCAAATCATATACAGAAGTCCCGTTTTCTTTGACAACAATCAGGTCAAGTATTTTCAAGAGAATATACAAGACAACAGCGATGTTCAACAAATGTTTGATAGTCATAAACACTCTGGGTTCGACTATATCGAGGTTTATCTAGTACTCTGCCAGACTCAACACGAAGTTGGTGAATCTCATGACGAAACAATGGATCTAGATGAAGTTGATGTTGTGGACGAGGAGGAAGAAAACCTGAGGCCATGGTTGATCAAATGGTTAATTTGTTCGGGACTGGGGACTACATCGCAATAAATCCACTTCAAGACATAGATGAAGAGGCACTACCATTAAGTCATATGTATTGTCCTCCCCAACACATGACTAACTTGCAATTGAGTGGAAACGATACTTCCTCAGATTTTTTCTACAATCCTTCTCAACAAATCGAAGGTGTTTTGAAAGCGGGGAACTAGTACCGCACAAAAGCAGAGTGCATGAAAGTTGTAAGAAAGTTTCATATGGATAACTTCGTTGATTTTTACATAAACCAGAATGACTCAAAACGCTATGTTGTAGTTTATCGTAACGAACATTGCAAGTTTCGGTTAGCAGCGTCTTATCGGAAAAGAAGTGATTGTTGGGGGATAGGTTCGATGGATCTACCTCATAGTTGCACAACCAACATCAATCAGCAAGATCATGGAAAACTAAGCTCTCAATTGATATGCCAAGAGATTTTTCATCTTGTGGGCGTAGATCCATCTGTGAAGGTGAGCACAATTATCTCTCATGTTGTTGCACGGTTCAACTATACCCCAACGTACATGAAAGCTTGGATTGGAAAAATAAAAGCGTTTGAACATGTATATGGGAATTGGGAAAAATCTTACAATCAACTTCCACAGTATTTACTAGCACTTCAAAAATATGTTCCTGGTACGGTTGTAATATTGGAGTCACTTCTAGCATACACTCCTGAAGGAACATGTGTTGATGGAAGTAGGATATTCTCTCGTCTCTTTTGGGAATTTCAACCATGTATCGAAGGTTTTGCGTTCTGCAAATTGGTTATTCAAGTCGATGGAACATGATTGTATGGAAAATACAAAGGAACATTGTTGATGGCGGTTGCACAAGATGGAAATAATAATATATTTCTGATTGCCTTTGCCCTGGTCGAGGGTGAGACAGGTGAAGCTTGGAGTTTCTTTCTTAGAAATCTCATAACACATGTCGCTCCTCAACCCAACTTATGTCTGATTTCCGACAGACATCCCTCTATTGTGAGCTCCTACAACAATCCTGCTAATGGGTGGCACAATCCTCCTTCTGTCCATGTCTACTGCATAAGACACATTGCTCAGAATTTTATGCGGGAAATGAAAGATAGAAATCTCCGTAAAAAATTTGTGAACGCTGGGTATGCCTTAAACCAACCATCATTCATGTATTACCGCGAAGAAATAAGATTGTCAAGCGCGGAATCATTAACCTGGATGGATAGCATTCCAGTCGAGAAATGGACAAGGGCTTTTGATGGAGGATGTCGATGGGGTCACATGACCACAAATCTTGTAGAATCCCTAAATGGCGTATTTAAGGGAACTAGAAACCTACCCATCACTGCGTTGGTAAGAGAAACCTATTACAGATTGGGGTCACTTTTTGCGGCAAGAGGCAAAAAATGGAGCGCTGTTTTGGAATCAGGGCAAATATTCAGCGAATCATGTATGAAGTATATGAAGGATGAAACTTCTAAGGCGGCCTCACATCGAGTTAGACCATTTGATCGTCACGATTACAGCTTCATTGTTGATGAGACAATGGATCACAACGAGGGTCGGGCAATGGGACACTACAGGATGGAAATTCATAAAAATTGGTGCGACTGCGGAAAGTTTCAAACCTTCCGCATGCCTTGTTCACATGTCATTGCCACATGTTCCAGTGCTCGTCACGATCCATTCTTGCAACTATCAGAAGTTTAAAAGGTCGTGAAATTATTCGGTATCTACAATAACAGTTTTCCAGTGGTAGCTAGTGAGGACTATTGGTCAACCTATCATGGAGACACAATCTACCACAACGAAAATACAAGAAGAAATAAAAAGGGCCGCCCCAAAAGCACGCGAATTACAACTGAAATGGATACAACTGAGAAAATGGAAAGATTGTGTGGAATATGTCGTCTTCCCGGGCATACGAGGGAAAATTGTCCAAATGTTAGAACAAGTTCTAGATAGATTTAATTTGGTCATTAAAAAATGAGTAACCTTGAAATTTAATATTTATAACAACTTTTCATTACCACAACAACAAATTGAAATACTTCTAGAGCAACAACGCAAATCATTAAAAATATAATGATTATTACAACATAAACTAAGATATAACAACAATCAAAGTAATATCATCAGTTCCGAACATCATAGACCTAACTTCGTTGTCATCTTTAATTCGCACTCACTCCCGCCGTATATTTCCGTCTACAATAGAGAAGTACAAAACAAGTCTTTCAATACTCCTAATTCTTTCACCATTTGGAATGTCTCCTTCTAACCAGCGATTCAAATTTCTTCGTAGTTGCTCTAAACTTTGGATGTTCCAAAACAACATCCTTATCGGAGGCTTAGTTCTTGAGAAAATGACATGCCCGTATCTTCTAAGCTACATGATTCACTCTCCTAAATTTGGATGAAACAAGTCTAACTATTTATACAAAAAAAATTGGTATAAAATAATATTAAATATTATAAATATTTATTATATTATTTATATTTGAATTAAATAATTAAACGAAATAAGGGGGCTCCAAAGGGGATGACGCCCCCCTTAAATCGTATAGGGGTGACTCCATCATGGATGGCGCCCCCCTTATAATTTTAAGGGTGCCTCCATCATGGATGACGCCCCTCTTAAAATTATAAGGGTGCCTCCATCTTGGATGGCACCACCTCTTTAATAATTTTTTTTTTTTTTGAAACATGGGTAGATTGGATAATATGTTGAAATGTTGGGTACATTGCCACATAGTGTTTGAAAAGTTGGTTATTGTGGTAAAAAATTCAACTATGATTTCCTCATTAGAGCCTGATCAGCAGTGTGAAAGAGGGAGTGATTTTATTCAATTTCACTGTGTATCACATTCACTTTTTTGCTTATTCTCTTTTTTCTTTTTAACATTTGGATTTTTATTCTTCTTGTTTATTAACATAAAATATTTGAGATTTGATTGTAGTTGAGTTTTATTCTTTTGTTAGTCTAGTCCTGGACCCATAAAACTATAGCTTTGAAACCAACTAAAATAATGATAAGAAGGATTTTGCTACTACCATAAACTAGGGTTCTACTCAAAGAGATAAAGATATAATTGTAGAGAAATGAAAACATATATTAATTCTACATACTGAATTTAGAGACAACAACTCTATAAATACAAGACATAAAATATGAGCCTAAAGATACCATTCTGGTTGGGGGCCACTTGGAGGAATTAAACTACTAAAACAAAAAAAAAGAAACTTTAACTCATGTAATAGTCTTGCTGCTAAACGGGCTTCTTCATAATTCTACTGGGCCTATCACTATTATCCTTCCCAATGAGAACCTTGTCTTCAAGGTTAGAGAAATCGCTTGATAGGTCCGCCCCACTGGATGTAGATTTCGTTGGATCACAAGGCCCACAATAATTAGTTTGGTCAAAGTTGATATGAGGGAAAATAGAGCTGGCATTTTGAATGAGGGGATAAGGCAAAGGGAGAGGGCGTGTAGTGGTATCCAGTTGTGTTGTAGGCATGGAAAAATCAGGACATGTGTCCTCTGCTGGGAAAGATGGAGAGATATGTTGGGGATCCAACATTTGATGGGAGGGCAGAAATTTTTTTTAGATAGTGGGAAGAGGGTGAGAAGCTTTATTGGCCAGTGTGACATTTAATGGGGCAGTTGGAATACAGCTGAACGCACATGGGTATGTTAGAGCATCTTTAATGAAAGTAAACTAAATGGATAAACTAAAATATTTTTTTTTGGGCCCAAAGTGTTTTGTAGGATTTAAAAAATTTACAGTTGATTTGAGTAGTTTTTACTTTAATGATGGTTGTCTATAAGAAACCAAAACTTGACCTCACATTTTATATTTTTTATTCAAGTTACCATTAATTTAATGTTGTTGGAATATTTTATTAATATTAAATAATATTATAATATATTTCACATTGAATAGTTAACGTTAACTATATAGATAATGGAAACTAAACTTTAATTTACTATATGTCATGCCAACTCTACTATAATACAAATTATTTATTACTAACGTAAGTTATACAAAATTTTGGTTTAATAATTCTGTGCTAAATTCTGCGCTAAAGTTGCTGTTAAGTGGTGAAACGGTGAAATGCAGAGTGGTGGGGCCACGTGGGTGGAAGAAAGAAATTTTTGATAGAATCCAATGTGAGTAGACGGTCCAGATTAGAAAGAGGAAGGATCCAACGGTTGGAAGGGAATTGTGGCGTCTAGAAAATTCTGAATATTAGATTTTGGAATTGATGTACTTGCCTTGTACTTTAAAGACTTATAGTTAAAGTCTTTGGTGCATGCGTGAATTATTGTGTTCAGAATATTTTGGAACTTCAAAATTTTTGTTGGCCTCAACTTCTTTCTCTTCTAACCTCTTTGTTGTTGTTTCAAAAGCACTCGAGTCTAAACGTTTCTCTTTTCTAATGTTTTTCTCTTCATCATACCCTCTACCTTTATGCTCTTCAATCATTTTGTTTTCCACCCCTTTTGTTACTGAGTCCAAGCCTTCCGATTCATCCAATTCTTTCTCTCTAATGTTCTCAGGGAGGGGAATGGTTGCAGCTTTTGGATCTTGCCCTTGAAAAGCTTTTAACTGGGAAACATGGAAAACTGGGTGGATCCGAGATGAGGGTGGTAGTTGCAGTTCGTAGGCGACTGGATTAATGCGACGCAGAATAGGAAAAGGGCCGAAATACCTCTTTGAAAGCTTCTGAGACGTTCTTCTATGGACGGAGGTTTGACGGTAGGTTTGTAGTCTCAGCAAAACAAGGTCTCCTACAGCAAATGTATAATCTTTAAACTTTTTATTTGCCTGTTCTTTCATGATCTTTTGACTGCAGTTTAGATTTAGTTTCAGCTTATTAAGAATGGTTTGTCTTTGTTGTAGCGTGGAACCAAGTGAAGGAATGGTCAAAAACCCTTTGACGTAGTCTTTAACTGCTAGAGGTTGTCTACCATAAAAGGCTTCAAATGGCATCATTTTGATTGAAGAATGTAAGCTCGAGTTATGCCAAAAT